CTCCCTCTCTCTCTCTCTCTCTCTCTCTCTCTCTCTCTCACACACACACACACACACACACACACACACCCTTCAGTTATGTAAAGCAATAAAGCAAAATGAAGAGTCTTTATGCTTAAAAAAGTGAAAATTGAGTGATGGTTTGATTTCCTACCTGTGGGTTTGTAGGTATTTACACAGGTGGGGTAGAGATTAAGAAGAAAACTAAAACCTTGTGTAATCCTAAAGCCACACCCACTTCTCCTTTGAGACTGGTGCATTCTCTAACTTGCCCCTTTTAAAATGATCTTTTAGTATTTCCTAGGATCATCTGACATCGGTAAAAGATACTCCATAATGATTAACTTTATACGTAACTTTCCATATTTTTGAAAGGAAATTCCCAGTGTACAAACCCATTTCTCTGATAGTTCCCATTCTTTCCAATTGGTATGTTACTACTAATGGACTATGATTCTTAAACACCAGGTTATCTTAATGACATCATGGAAGAGAAATATCCTTACCTGAAATACTGCCTATAGAAGAAAAGCCATGGCAGTTTCCAAGCTCTATTTGGGCTGCTGACTCAGAGTACTTATTTTCTGAAACCAACTCAAGGATCAGTAATAGCTGCCACCCTATACAAACAGCCTCTATGTGCAGATGCAACTTGTAAGATTAAAATGTTGGCTTCTAGTGGGGTTTGCACACTTCCATTCTAGTTTTATATGCAAATCAGATTGCACTGACTCATCAATATTCTACTAGCATTTTCTTTAGAGATGTGTGGAGAAAGACCCTTAGATGTCAATTTACTTATTAACAATGTGACCTTGAAAATAATAAATAGTTAACTTTCCTGAATCTAAGCTCTTTCATATGCAAATTTCGGGTAACTGTGGGGTTAATGGTGCCCTTTATCAATTGTTATGGTGATAATTAATTGAAATAACATATGCAAAGTACACAAGAGAGTTGGCATTTCCTGCAATAGTGGATATATTTAAATATTTTCTCTCTATTCTTGGTTCAAAAGAAGTTAGGGAATTCCTCTATTTAGAACTTTTTAAGATTGATGGCAAATTAATTTCATTCCATGAGCCTCCAGGCAAACTTTCCAATATTAATGATTGTGTTTTCTTAAATAAAATACTTTTCCAAAAGAAATTTTCCATAAAAATGAAGCTTTTTCTCTAAAATATTTATGATTCTAAAGGATGTAGGGTTTTAATTTTTCATTAGACTCTAGTAGGCTTAATCATTTGAATAAAATGCTAATTTTTATGAACTTTTCAATATTACTGAAGCATAGAACAATATGTGTGAAACTAGCAGAAATGTCCTAGACAACCACAAAGTGAGTGCTTCACAGTGCTAACCCCACAGCACGGGTGAGTGCTTCACAGTGCTAACCCCATCAGCACCGTAGGTGATCAACACAGAACAAGACTTTCGCAAGAACACTGAGTTGTGACTTTAGTTGCTAGTGATAGAAGATTGTTTTCTAATGAATAGCCAATAGTGTATTTTCATGAAATTCTGAGATAAATTGTCTTTGTTATATCCATAATAATCTCATTGAAAAATATATTAATATGTGCCAATGCTTAATAAAGTACATATATTTGTGTATATACACACATAAATCCATTTATGAAGGGAAGTAGAGGAAGAGGGACAGAGAGAAGAAAGGGGAGTAAACTAATTATTTTATAGAAATAATACAAATCTTAATTAACAGAAGAAATATCAGCAATTAGTTCAGATGAGTTTATTTATTAAGGATGCAATCTTCAGAGGCTTTGTTATCAGAGTGCCTTACTTATATACATAGAGAGGCATTTGTTCAGTGGGCAGCTACTTATCATCTGAAAAATGTCACACCCATATGAAAGCGCCATTTTTAATAAGCAGAACACTGAAGTCATTAGATCGTGGCATTCCACACTTACGACTGAGAAAGCTATCAGCTCTTGGATGGAGGGTGTCTAAGTTTCCTCCACACCAGCTCTTGGCTTTGGCTTTTATCAGTTCAGCAGATAGATTCACAGTAGAGTGTAGAGCACATGACTTCTCACCACACAGCTTGTGTTTGTGTCTTCCATTCCCTGCACGCTTCTTTCAGTCTCGTTACCTGGAAAATGAAAGTGACAGCAACTACTGGTTTATAGCGTTGTGGTGAGGCTAAAACAGAGTAAGCCACTCTCAGAGCTTAGAGTTCAGCTTTTGCTATTACTCAGCATCATTGAGCAGTGAGCGTCCTGAGCTTTCTCTGTTCATTACAGTCTAATCAGCTTGTTAAAAATAGAAAAGTACCAATTCCTGGTGCTCCTTTCCCAGAGAATTGCTCTTTGCCTCCAAGAATTTCACAGGTGGTTCACAAATCATCCTTGGAGGCGACGCTTCCCTGGTCTCTTTTAGAAATTGCAGCCACAAGCATGGAAGTCTTTTTTCTTAAGCGAATTCTTTGGGATACTCTCTTAATCTCTCAGAATATTCTGAAACAGTCTATGCTGTTTGGTTGGGTCCTAGATTGCTATGCTCCTCTGTATAGCAATAACACTGTATAGCAATACTCTTTAGAGTGAACATGGGTGGGAAAAATTCCATGTTCTAGGCTGTTCTCAAGTTATGAAATATGTGTGTCGATTCACAGACAATTAGAAAATGACTGGAGATGGCAGTGCGTTCATGATAACAGGAGGGTGCTTATAGCAGGCTTTTTAGACTGTCAGTCCCCAAATCATGACACAGAGACTTATTAATAATTGTGAAAGCTTGGCCTCAGCTTAGGCTTGTTTCTAACTAGCTCCTATAACTTAGAGTAACCCATTTCTATTAATAGGCATGCTGTCATGTGGCTGGTGGCTTTTGCCTCTCCTCCTGCATGTCCTGCTTCCTGTGTGTCTGGCTGGTAGTCACCAGCCTTTCTCCCTGAGACCTCTCTGTCCGGAAAGCCCATCTTTACCCCCTGCTTAGCTATTGGCCATTTATCTTTTCATTAACCCAATCACAGTGACATGTCTTTACTCAGCATAATCAAATATCTCACAACAGGTCTTAAATTAACTTTATTTATACTTAAGTTTTATGAGAAATTGTAGCTCATCCAATTTGGCATGTGCATTGACATTTCAAAGGTTGTACTAGAATTGTCTAAGCTATATAATCAGCCCATAAATTATTAAAGGTTTTTTAAAGAATGCAGAAGCTAATATGAAATACTTTTAAAAATCAGCATATAAAATAATTGGTTTTACTGTGAATTTTTCATAAATGTATATCGTGTTTTACCTGTCAACTGACAAACAAACTAGAGTCATCTGAAAGGAGGGACCTCAACTGAGAAAATACCCACAGAAGACCCAGCTATAGGGCATTTTCCTAACTAATGATTGATGAGGGAGGGCCCAGCCCACTGTGGGTGTTCCTTCCCTGGAATGATGAGCCTGGATTCTATAAGAATGTGAGCAAGCCAGTAAGCAGCATCCTCAAGGCCTCTGCATCAGCTCCTGCCCCCAGGTTCTTGCCCTGTTTGAATTCCTGTCTTGACTTCCTTCAGTGATGAACAGTGATATAGAAGAGTAAGCCAAATAAACTCTTTCCTCCCCAGCTTGCTTTTTGGACAGGGTGTTTTGTCATAGTAAATAGAGACCCCTTAAGACAAATGTACCTTGCCCACGTTGATATCTCCTGTTACCCATTGGTATTTTTCCTTTTTTATTTTCTCTTGCTTGTCTTTCTTCTTCCAAATAATGTGAAATATTTGTGTTCCACCTTGAAAAGAAATTTGAGATACTATTATAAACATGGGGATTCCTCTCCAATAAAGGATTTGTAGCCCACTCTCTTTTGAGGGTAGATTAATACAGGCTACTCTGGGCACACTTTTGTCAGCACTTATTGGGCTTACTGCTACATCAAAGAAACTATCATAGTTGATTTTTCCTTTTGCCTGTCCCTTTTTCTTCTCTCTCTTCATAAACATTGCTCTTTAATGAATATTTTCACTTGAAGGGACATATCAACACCGACTCTTGGAGAATATATCCTTCTTTAACTGGTATCAGGAGTAAATTAAGAACTTAGACCTTGTGTTTTGGACTGGTTCTCTACCATCCAGTTAGTAATAAAGAACCTGTAACAATAACTCTTTGCGCCAGCCGCCTGAGTTCCGCCGCCATGTTAGGGCCCCCAAATAACACACAGAGATTAATATTAGTTACAATGCTGCTGGCCAATGACTAGGATTTCTTATTTGCTAGCTAAGTCTTAATTATCAACCATAACTACTAATCTATATATTTTTATAAGGACTTATCTTACAAAGGACACCGGCCTTATGTGTCCTCTCTTCCTGGCGATCACCTGGCAACTCTCTCCCTTTTCTACATTTCCCAGAATCCTCCTCAACTCCTAGTCCTGCCTATCTTGCTTCCCTATTGGCCAACAGTGCTTTTTTCATCAACCAAAAAGACAAACACATACACAGAAGGACCTCCCCCATCAGGATCCTGCCACATGGATGACTCATGGAACAAGGTGATGATCCTGTGGTTAAATTTTTACTCATAGTAAATAAGGAGGTGGAAGAATACACAACAGGGAGCTGTATCGTGGCTTGAAATGCAGGGGAAATAATGGCTGGCAGAGTGTTAGGTAGCTGTTGTTAAATACTACTGATGTTTGGCGGAAAGATCACGACGAGGGCACACAATAGAATACTGATATCTGGGTGTAAAAGGCAAAGGGACCCCTGTTGCAAGTGAAGAAGTGCTTCTTCTGAAGGGGCCAGCTCCCCTTTCGGCAGCCATAACAGCCGAACATGTGCTTGCCATAACCTTGCCTTGGTCACTTAGAGGTCAGATGCCTGCCTCGTGACAAGGAACCAATCAGAAGTTAGCTGGTGGCGCTATGCTTTACGGCCCAAAGCATAGCAACCGCCCTGGGAGGGCCTATGGGCCCTAACAACCAGTTGACCAATCAACACAGGGCAAGCCCTCCAAGGCTGGAGGCACACCCATAGTGAGCCTGTGTGTAACCCTAGACACTCCCCTTACGCTGCCCTACAAGATCCTAGACAGTGGGTTCGAGCTGTCTTTGCTAGCCATCCGCCATGGCGGGTGGGTGAAAGACCCGAGCTAACATGGGGTTAGCTTGTTAAATTACAATAAAGCCTCATGCAGTTTGCAGCAAGCTCTCGAATCCGCCTGGTGATTGGGTGACCGTGGTCATGGCCTGGGACCCCGGATACCTGAGTTTTCCGGGGGTCTAACACTTCCATCTAGGGAAAGTCAGTGTCTCAGTCACGGAACCTGTATTTGGTGCAGTGGAATTTCACAGATGAGTGCTCAGCCAAGGCAGATCTGCCAGGATTGTCGTGGCCCAACCCATCTCAGCTCCAAGTCACAGTAGCCATTCGGTTTAGCCTGAGTGGGGGAGCGTGGACTTGGAAACTCCTAGCAACCCAACGATGATCAAGACCGAACACAGGCATCTTGTCATCTTTAGAGAACTCTCAGTTCCATGCTGTAAAACTGGAGTCTGTTGTTTATTGAGCATCTTCCTGGCTGTTTTCTAACCGTGCTTCCAAGGTCATGAGGCCATTTCTGTCTCCTTCAGCTGACTCCTCTCTCTGCTAGATAGCTCCTAACTCTCTCCTCACTTGTTACTCACACACCTAACCTCCTGCCCCCATGCCTATTCAAATGCTTAGTCCTGTAGAGATGCAAACTAGGAGGCATTCTACACTGAGGCTGTGCTATATAATAGCAGACTTGCTTACATTGGCAATACAATTGTAGGCTGGGTGCCCCTGTTTACTGAAATCAGAGGCTGGACCTTAATGGAACTATTTTGGTCCCTGACACAGGATTAGCATCCAGGGCTGGTGGTATGAGGGTGTGCAGATCACAGAGTCACTGGAGCTTCCCAGTCACCTCTGCACCCTTCGACCTGAGGATATGACCTACCCTCTTTACTGAGTGGTGTCACCAGGCTGGGATGCAGCTCAGTGGCGTAACACTCATTTGGCGTCCTTCGAATGGGAAGGAAAAAGAGCTGTCACTCAGCGTCAGTGTCTGTCTCACTCTGGCAGATTTGGATGTTATGTAGGCCTCATTCATGTGAAATGGCTTGTGCCTGACAGACCTGCACCACCATTCTGCTTCCCACTATGCCTGTAATTAAGGTTAAGTTGTACACAGTGTCCAGGTGAAGGAACCGGCTTCCCTTTTGGCAGCCATAACGGCCGAACACGTGTTTCTAGTGTCTTGCCCTAGACACTAGAAAGTCAGATTCCTGTCTTGTGACAGGGAACCAATCAGAAGTTAGCTGGTGGCGCTATGCTTTACGGCTCTGGGTGTGCTTTACAGACAAGCTCACAGCAATGACGTAGAGAGCATAGCAACCACCCTGGGCGGGCCTATGGGCCATAACAACCAGTTGACCAATCAACACAGGGCAAGCCCTCCAAGCCTGGAGACACACCAATCGTAAGCCTGTGCATACCCCTAGACCACTCCCCTTACGCTGCCCCATAAGATCTTTTGGGAGCCCGTAGGAGCCGTCTTTTCTAGCTATCCGCCATGGCGGGTGGGTGAAAGACCTGAGCTAACATGGGGTTAGCTCGTTAAATTACAATAAAGCCTCGTGCAGTTTGCAGCAAGCTCTCGAATCCGCCTGGTGATTGGGGTGACCACGAACGTGGCCTGGGACCCCGAATACTTGAGTTTTCGGGGGTCTAACACAGGTTCATATTAATATCCATAGACTCACAATGCAGTAGAGGAGGCCCCAAGTCAAAGGCTGGAAACATTAATTTCCCCTAAGGAGCCGCAAGAACTAACTAGCCTGTATCAGAAAGAGTCAAGGGAACAGATGAACGATTGGAGTCTCAAGATGCTGGATCAAGGGGGCCAAAGGGAAAGATTGACTAAGAGTTTCTTAACTTCAAAATTTCCTCTTGAATTATAGTACGTAACTGTTTGGCAATGATCCTAGGGAATCCTATGATTTGGGTGTTAGAACGGCCCCAGGAAACATGAAAAAACAATGGCATGCTTTGTACAACGTTGAAAAGGCAACTTTCCATGGTAGGAGGTGGAGGCTACGAGTAAGAGTCTCACAAGAATGGAGATCCTGGACTAACAATGTGTGCTTGTGACTTTATTTAGTAAATAGTCTCAGTATACTAGTCATTCAGTCAAAGAATTTTAAGAGTTACTTTCTTTATTTACTCTCTCTCTGTGTGTGTGTGTGTGTGTGTGTGTGTGTGTGTGTGTGTGTGTGTGTCTGTGTCTGTGTCTGTGTCTGTGTGTCTGTGTGGGAGTATATGCAGGGAGTGCAGGTGCCTGTGGAGACCAGAGGAGGGAGCTGGATCTCCAGAGCGGGAGTGATAACCAGTTGTGAGCCACCTTACATGGGTGCTGGAAACCACACTTGAATGTTCTGTAAAAAACAGCACATTCTCCTAATTACTGAGCCATTTCTGCAGACCTTCATTAACTTCCCATTTAATAAATGAGGGCCCTGAAGGCATAAGAAATGTGTTGCTGGCCTGGGGCTGCACCAGGATCTCATAGCCTGTCAGCAGTGGGATTTGTCTCAGAGCAGTGCCAATAGGAAGATGGTCTCTTGCAGAACCTGGCTCATTGATGGCAATAAGTGGGATGGAACCATGAAGCAATAGAGGCCATGGGGCTATTCTTAAGCACCCTGAACAAGGTTGTTACAATTACTGTAATGACCAGCAAAATTGGAGAGGCAGTCAAAGGGGCATAACCCACAGAAATATGGAAATAGTTACCAGAACATAGCCTTCCTAAAGACAAAATGGATAGACCACCTCCTAGGATATTATTTTGTTTGTGATTGTAGAAAGTTTTTCACAAAGAATAACTGTTTACTAAAAAGCTATGATTCTAGATCAGAAATGTGTATTATGAAGTGAGAGACGTCTGTGTGTGAAAGTAGCAGATTGTGTAACTCCAGCTGTATGGCATTCTGAAGAAGGCAAAACTATGAATTTTGTAAACAAACAAACAAACTAGTGTTTGCAGAGTTTAGGAGGGAGGATTAATGGGTAGAACACAGGGGATTTATAGGGTTGTGAAACAATTCCGTATATATGGTAAAGGAAGGTATTACACATATTTCAAATGTTGGAACATCGACAGTACCAGGAGTGAACTCTAATATAAACTGTGGCCTTTTGTCAAAATGATAATCTATATAGGGCCATCTGTTGTAACAATGGTTATGCTGTTGATAATGGGGGAAACTGTGTATGTATGTGAAAACAGTTTCTACTTTCCACACAATTTTATTGTGAACCCAAAGTACTCTGAAACTTAGGGTTTTTTTTGTTTGTTTGTTTTTTTAATCATAATATCTTTCCGGTTGTCTGGATCTGATACAGTGTATAGATCTGAGCCTGAAGAGGTGAATCTAACCTTGAGGAGTGAACTGTAGGTTCTTTTCAGAGCAGTGATTTCTTCAGGTCTTCTCCAGACCACTAGGTCGTCTATCTTCTGACCATTTACTTGATTTATTTTGTACTGAGGAAAAGAGGAAGGGGACTATATGGGCATTGGGAATGCTTCTGGACACAGAATCCAAGTTGAAATTAATATTCAGAGATCCAAAGCCTTGTCATGATCCTTTTGGTAGAGTAGAGACAAATAATGACTGGGTAATATGCATAATTCCAGCAGCGAGAGGCCTACAGTAAACCCACAGAGCCAGTGAACTCTTCTGTGGGCCATTTCCTGGCCCCCGAGTGAGTGAGTCTGAAGTTCTTGGCATTTGGACCTCCACATATAGTCCCAGTCATGTGTGTAAAACCCTTCACAGAAAAGATGGCTCACCCATGCCTGGGACCATGATGGTAAAATGAAAAACTATGTAGCGTCCCAGAGAAGGAAGTGGTGGAGATCAGTGAATGAACGAATCTTTCATTCATCTAGGGTCTAAGGATTCCGAGCACAGAGAGGTGATGATTCCCAAGGTCCCTTCATTTAACTGGCCAGCGTGGCACCATTAGAGCCAATGGCCCTAGGATGGTAGCTGAAGATGGCTATAAATTCAGCTAATTAGTAGATCTGAATACAATAATTATACTAGGTGTGATATCTTTGTTTTCATAGACTAATAGACCTAAAATACATTGTCATTGTTTTGGAAAGTGTTTTTATATCCTAAATTATAATAGAGTCTCAGATATAATTTACATTTAGGTGAAATCAATAACAGTGTATGTGTAAGGTCTTGCCAAAAGGCTTATGTTCACTGCCCTACCCTCTGTCATGAGAGAGTGTACAGAGATATGGATTGTCTGTGCAGAATGCCATGGTGGTTTAGTACATTGATGATATCATAATATTTTGCTTGGCCAGATGAGCAAGAGGTGGTTGACATGTTAGAAGTCTTAGTGAGATGCTCACGTTCCAGAGGCTAAAGTGATGGGTTTGCCATTAGTAACCTTCTTAGGGGTTCAGAAATCAAGGCATGCCAGTCAACTTCCTCCAAATAAAAGACAAAGTACTGTGTGTCTCAGTCTCCCACCCTGAGGAAGAAACAAAGACTGGCAATCCTCTATGGGTTCTGGAGGCAGCAAATTCTTCAACTGGAATTCTGCTCCAGCTCCTATTCTGGGAAACATGAAGGGCTGACTGCAGCCCAAAGCAGGAAGTGACTCTACATCAGGACCAGACTCTGCCATGTGAGTCATGCGATGTGATGAACCCAAACCAACTGGAGGGTGTCAGTGGTAGGCACGGTCTCATACACAGTTTGGGTCATGTCTTAGAATCATAGCACACACTTTATGTTCTAGGCAGTTTGTTATGTGTCCATATCATTATGTATCTATCTTTTGAAAACTGGCTTCTCCCATGACACTGGCCTATCTAACTCTGAGAAGCTGTGTGACCGTGTTAACTGTGTACTGTGAGCTAAGTCCTATGAGATCCACTGTCATAAAGGTCTAGCTGGGTCTAGCACAGTCACAATAAAACCAAAGCAGTATGCTGGTGACAGAGCACCAGGGGGACCAGAGAGACAAGCAAGCTGCTTGGGCCTGGGCATTTGACCCATGGTGCCTCTCACTATGACATTAATGTCCTTTGCTCATCTTCAGCAGATGAGGAAGGTGGGAAAAGCTGAGTTTTGTGTATAGAGATGTTGGCTTAGTACCCTAGTACAAGTCAGAAGTACATGGTAGATAAACTTCCTTCAGGGGTAGCCTTGAAAGATGATAGAAATCCTCCCAGCCCACAGATACAGGCCTGGTTGTTTCCTTTGTATGTTAAAAAATCTCAGTTTAAATATATAGAGACTCATCAGTAGTAATGGATAGCCAGGGTAGCTGGCAAGAGACATGGCAGGAGAAAGAATGGAGACCTGGTGAAAACAGGAGAGACCTACCTAGCTGACACATGCTAGGCTGTGGTCACCAACTCTAATGCTCATGGGTAATGGATATGTAGCTATGGTAACAATGATGGTAACGATCTGTGTGACCCCAACAGTCTACATTTGCACAGGGTGAGCTTTTCTAGTTATGGCCATTGGTGAAGATCAACAAGGGAGACCAGCGTTAATACTATACCTTTGCTCAAGAAGAACATCGAGCCTGGTAGGGTGGTTACATTGGGTCCATTTCATCCTGGTTGGGTTAACGGTTTATATTTACATGTCTCACAGTCATGAACATACATTTGGGGTATGGATTTCCTTTTTCTGTCCACAGTGTTTCAGGCAGCCCTATTATCTATAAGCAAATATCTACCTCTTAAATTAATGTACAGAGATTTGGCTCCTACAGTATCAATATACTGCCAGCACGATGCCTTTTAGGAACTTGTCTTGATGAAGACACATTTTACACTCGTTGGTCAAGTGTTATTGGCGGGTCCTTGGTACACATCAACCCTCACTGTCTTTCTCTTTAGCTCTGTTCTGTTTTGCAAAGGTGCAAACAACTGTAGGATCCATCTCTCAGGCTTTCCTATAACTTGGCTTTTATCTGGGTTTGGT